CACACCAAAGTTAATTTTTACACGTCAAAGTTCATCTTGACAAAGTCAATATTTCCCTATATATACAACAAGGAGCACTGACGATGATTCATTCAGAATCGAAATATGGCCTTATTTGCAGCATGAATTCGAAAAATAAGTTTATTTTGAATTTTAATAAACGTTCACCAAAAAACTTTGGTGAGAAAAATCGAAAAAACGAACTACAAACATATTAACGCCAAACATTCGGTAGAATTTATAGAATATTGTAAATATATATATATATATATATATATGTATATGTATATATATATATATATATATATATATATATATATATATATATGTATTTTAACAATTAATTTTACAATTAAGTTTATGGTCTTTTACCAACATATATGTATTTGTAAACTCGAGCGATATTTAATTTTTGTAACTAAATTTTCATTGATATTTATACTTATAAATTCGAATTAACATTAAATGGTTATTCAATTGAACATTGACCTGTCGATCTCTATGATATTATTGGCGGGTGTGTACGCGAACGTATATGTATAGAATCTGATTTTAATTAAGCTAACTGAAGACACTTTTCCTAAATCTTATTAAATTTGTTGTTTTATTCATGATGGGCTGTGTAAGATGAGATCATCATGAGCTCAGTCACAGTCATCCTGCCTTCTTAATTGTTATTTTGAGAAGCAAATAAAAGTTCGTTTCGTATGTATGTATATGTGTATGTATGTGTGTGTGTGTGTGTGTGTGTGTGTGTGTGTGTGTGTGTGTGTGTGTGTGTGTGTTTGTTACAATAACAACAACAACAACAATAAATAATAATAATAATAAATGCAAACTTTATAGAATGGTGTGTTGTACTCTGTAGAAATATTTTCGACAACGTTGAAGAGATAACTCAATAGGTAAGTCTCACAACACTCAACTTTACTATTATTATTATTATTATTGTTGTTATTCGTTGCTATTGTTGGTGTTATTGTTGTTGTTTGGTACTTTTGGACCGATAGGATCAGAGAGTCCATGATTATGTTGCTAATGCTTTGAGTGAGAAATTGTGATTGGTTGGAGCCTAAGACAAACAAAGAGTGGATATTTATGAATGTTATTGTGTTAGAATAATGAATGAATGAACGATTGAATGAACGAATAAAGGAATTAATAAAGGAAGCAATCATTCAATTTGTCCAGCCAATTATACAATAGATACTTCAATTTTTTTATTCATTAATCCATCCATCAATTCATTCATCAATTCACCTATCCATCCATCAATTCATTCGTTTATCTATTGATCCATTCATTCATTCATTCATTCATTTATTCATTCATTCATTCATACATTCATTCGTTCACTCACTCGACAAACGAACCAACAACCAGCTAACCAATCAATCGATCAACCAACGAATCAATCAATAAATCAAGCAACCAATCAATAAATCATCAATCAATCAACCAATCAACCAATCAATCAATCAATCAATCAATCAATCAATCAATCAATCAATCAATCAATCAATCAATCAATCAATCAATCAATCAATCAACCAACCAACCAATCAATTAATCAATCAATCAATCAATCAATCAATCAACCAATCAACTAACCAACCAACCAACCTAATCCAACAATAAGTTGTTCATAGTTGATGGCAATGACGATTTCTGGACTTTTGAGCAGCCTGTCAAACATCTTTGTATAGTGCTCAGTCGCTTGGTTCTGCAAAATATGAATAATAATAATAATTATATTAATAATAATAATAACAATAATAATAATAGCAGCAACAAAAATAAAAACAATGTAAAATACAAAGAAAACGGCTTTTACAAAATTTAAAAGAATGATGATACTACCACTACTGCTGCTATTGCGGCTGCTTCTAAAACTACTATAACCACTACTGCTCTGCTTCTACTACTACTACTACTACTAATACTTCTATTACTACTGTTACTACTATAACTACTACTACCACCACTATTACTAATAAACAATAATAATGGTAACCATGTTAAAGTTACCAACATTAAACTTGGCGAAAGCATTTTGCAATGATGATGATGAGTGAGAATGAGACGATGGGCCATCATTAGAATGTTGTGGTTTTGAAGTTGCTGTAGTGGCAGCTGTTGTCGTCGTTTTACCGGCGACACCATCATCATTGGCGTCGTGGCTAGTGTAATCTATGTCCATTGATTCAATTTTCATTGGCTGTTCAGCTCTGCTTTTTGTTTGGTTGTCAATTATCATCATCATTATCATCACTACCAGCGTTAACATCACCATCATCATTAATTATATCATCATTAATATAGTCGGTAGCATCATTATCGTTACCTTTTGCAATAACACACTTATCACAATGATTTTTTTTTTTATTCATTTGTTCATTCATTTATTTATTCATTCATTCATTCTTTCATTCATTCATCCATCCATCTACCTATCCAATCATTCATTCATCCATTCATTTCACTTGAAACAAACTAACAGTCTTTGTATCTTTATAGAGCTGCTAGCCTCCTCTTTGAAATCACCTGTTTAAAAATTAAGTTAGTTTCCATGTTTTAAAAGTTCATTTAAGTCATAATTTAATATAATAAATAAAAAGTTTATTTCAATTGTTACACACACACGCGCGCGCACACGCACACAAACACGTGCATACGAAAACCAAACATTAATATATTCACTCATGCATAAACACATAATCATACATATAATCTCTCTATCTCTCTCTCCCTTTCTCTCTTTTATTTTCTCACACACATACACACAAACATCCAAACTTCTTATACACTATAATACAAACTTTGATTTTTGATACGAATAGTAGCAGCAGTAGTAGTGCTAGAACTATTAGCTGACTCTGCGAGTATTGAAACAGGCTGCTGTTGTTTGTCGTTTGGGGCTGCTGCCATATTGGCCGACACCGACGACGCACCTGACGCGTTCAATTTCGCTAGACGCCTCTGGCGCATCTTAATTAATTAAATTTTAAATATTTATTCTAATAATTCAATTGGTTTTTTGGTGGTAAATCTAAATTTAAAAGAAGCAAGCTCATTGTTATTAGATTGATGATTTATTTGGGTGGGTAATTCTTTAATGAATTCAGTTCACTACTTGAATAGTTAGATTAGTATTTAGTTAGTCAGAGAAAGAGAGAGTAGAGTTAGTGTAGTCAAAGTGTAATGTAGTGAATCAGCTGTTTTTAAGTTTAAAAGGTAAATTTAATAATTTAAAAATAAATTTTACACAAATTTTTTATGAAATAAAAAAACGGTGAATTAGAATGACAAAACAAAATTCCAAAAGTTACTTCGTCTGCCGATAATTCGCTCATTATTGCAAATTTGGAAAAACAAAATTTTTAAATTTAAATTTTCCAATATAAATAAAGAAAAAACAAAGGACCATTAGTTAGATGTACGAAATCAACATGCGTATTGTAAAAATATGGAAGGCCGACAATGTTTAAAAACAAGCGAACTTCACTGGAGCTTAATTTTAAAGATTATTTTGATCAAATTTACACTTTAGAATAAATAAAGACAAAAAACACCACTGATAAACATTTTATTCGAAGACTTTTTGACATACTAACATCAAAATTTAAAAAAATTTGTATTATAAAGTAGAAAAATAGAATGTAGCACAAATACATGGAGAAAGATTGTACCACAAAATACTAAAAAATTAATTTGATATCATTACAGAGTATCAACAAGGTGTGTGATCTGCTTGAAAATTACAAAACATTTACAGAAACATATTTTAAAATATATAAGAAATTTTCAAACTAAACACGCACGCACACACACACACAAAAGTAATAAGCAAACATTTAACAAGGTGTTACACTATTATCATAAAAGCAAACACTCTTTTAAAACTACTACACAATCATATACAATTACATTATACCGTTATTAATCATAACTATAATTAACATTTATTTTATTAATAATATAATAGTATTTTATTATAAAGCCAACTTCTTTTCAAATTCTAGCACACCAAAACAAGATGCCTTATATATGATAATTATCTGCTAGTTAATCTAAGACTAGTAATTCATAACAATAAATGAATGAATGAGCGAGTTAAATGAATGAATGAATGCATGGGTAAATGAATGAATGAACGAATGAAAAAATAAATTTAATGACAGAAGTCTAAACAAATGACAGTTATAAAATTTACAAATTAATATATAAGTTCACATAAAAAAAATAAAAAAATTGTTTACTTAATTGTAGAATTTAAATTCAATTAAATTAGTGTTCAAAAGTTAATCTAAAAGGTAAATACTGAATCATTTATGACAAAACATGTTTTGCATATAATTCAAAATGTTATCAATTAGAAGCAAACGGTTGTAAGCCAAGTACTGATCAGCTGCCAATCAATTAACCAAGCAACCAATCAACAAACCAAACAATTAATTAATCTACAAATCAATCAATTAGAATTAATTATTCATTAAGCTTGCAACACCTTTAGTGAGAAAGAATAGAGATGGTATTAAAACATAATGAAACAAATCGACGGTCTTAAACCCAAACAACCTTCCTTCCATTCGAGCAAACACACTGCCAATCACTAACAATAGACATCCAAGAATTCCATTCAAAGTGAATTTGTAAGAAATATACAAAATGAATATTATTGACAACACACTTAACCCTGTCATCAACAAATCTTTAACATTTGGCTGAAATTTTGGAAGTGTGAAGAACAATATGGCAGGGGCCAATAAGAATATAACATAACCAGTGTAACTAATTTTATTCAAATAATTTGCAGCAAACACTGCTGGAGTAAAGATGAATGAAGTCTCTGTTAATGTTCGATGCCATCTATAAACTAAAGTTGGAGGTTCGTCTAATCCAAATCTAATCATTCCAGCAAAAGCGGCCAGTCCAGTAACAAAAAGAGAAAAATAAACTGAGGTACTGAAAGTCCTACACATGTAGGTTAGATAAAAGCAGGTTGTCGCTAGAAAGAGCTCCGAAAGTGCCGTACTGTACTGAATCATTTTCACTAATTTTAGGATTCTTTTTCTTTTCTTATCTCAAATCTCCAGTCCAGGTAAATTTATTTATTAAATTTTTTATTTGGTTTGGTTGGGGGCTCTATTCTTTACGATCCAACTTTTGATCTGAAAAACAAAATAATTAATATTATTTAAAATTTTCGAGGTGATTTTTTCAAAAGTTAAACAACCTTAGTAGGAATTTGACCGAAATGTCAAAATCCAGGAAATTTTTTAGTGAGTGATAAACAGTACAACTAAAACTTATGAAATCAGTTGTATAGCACTTTTTTTGGAATATACATTTGCATGATTTATTACGCATATAAAATGTTTTAGTAGTATAAAACATTTTTATAACAAAATTTAAACTAAAACATTGTAATTAAATATAAGTTTTTTCCTATTTTCAAAATAATTTACCTATGTATAAAGTCCTCCATATCGTCCATGTTATAAGCGTTGTCATGGAGATATTTAAAGATAGAGAATTTTTCAAAATTATAAAATTTTATATGTTTAATTGAGAACCCGACTAACAAGACAAATATGTACAGATCTAATCAAATAAATGCAAACAAAAAATCAAACGTTAATGACTTGTTAAACAGGGCATCTCAGTTTTTAAAGGGTAACAAGGCCAGCCCTAACAACAATGGTACCAGCAACCTGAAAAGTCCGGCTGACCCCGACAAGAAATTTCAGTCAAGAAAGGTTTATAAAAAATTTTAATTTTACGTAATTAGGCAATCTTTCAGAATGCAATGACGACCAGTACTCAAGTATATTTTTTACTGAATTCTTATTACTTCTTATAATTATACTTGAGTACATTTTTGGAATACTTATGTCATCACTGTTAAAATGTCGTCATCATTTTTTTTTATTTAATAAAACATTCATAAATTTTTAAATTTATCAAACTTTTTCAATATGATTTTTTTCCAAACTAATAATTTTAATAAATATAGTTAAAAACCCCTACAATAGTTATATAAATATTTACTCATTTTCATGAATTATATCCACTTAGTAATTTTTTCCTATTTAACCTAATCAACAGAAAAAATCTGCAACAAATTGGGAAAGTTTGGAAGACATTAGTGACCTTTCATACGTAAGTGAAAGCAGTTCAACATCGTCTGCTGGCCGTCAAAACAAATTTTTGAAGAAAAACAAACAAAAAAGTAACAAAAAAGAACTTGAAACACCAGCAAAGCTAGAAGAAACGTCAAAAATAGTGACAGTCAACAAGAATAATTCCTCTGAAAAACAACCAATAACCAAAGAAAATAAATTCCCCATTATAAATAACACCACTGTGACTAAAAATGAAATTAAAATCAATAATGATAACAAATCTGATAAGAATTACCAAAAATCAAATGGTGATAAACTTAATGATGACGACGAAGATCATGCCAGGGTGAAGAATGTTAATAAAATATTTCGAAAAAGTAGTGACAATGATGATGATAACAATGATGATTATAATGATAGCATCAACGAAATCATTAAAAGTGAAATTAGTGAAATTTCTCTAATCAAAGATGAGCCAGAAACCAAGAAAGGTACAAAAAATGTGGCTGGTAGAAGTGAAAATGCTGAAGACGACGACGACGATGATATCAATTATGATAATGATTTTGATGACGGTGGCGATATCTCTATGAAGATTCTAGACATTAGTGATCTAAAGAGCAGCATAAACATAGATGGTGAAAAACCAAAATCCAAAGACACTAAAAATCAACAAAAGATACTACATCAAAGCACAGATGATAGAAACAGCACAGACCAAAGAAATGAGAATGTCTCTATATTTCACGCTTCAAAGATAAAACAAAGTGATACCAAGACAGAAAATCGAACCTCAAGAAATAGAAAAAAATCATCATCAACACCTCGACAAACAATACCACCATCATCATCACCATCATCGCCGAGAAGTTATGATTATAGTGATGATTATGTTGATGATGGTAATGATGACTATGACGGCACGAAACTTGTAGATATGAAATCAATTAAAGATAAAATTAAAGCGGAAAACGACGATGACGATGGCGATGATGACAGCATAAGAACCGAGTTGGTCACTATAAAACGCTTCACTTAAATTTAAATGATAATAATAAAATTTATAATAATTATAATTATTTTATTATTATGACAATAATAATAGCTTTGTAAAATCTATCTCAACGATAACCAATCACGAAACGCTATTTTCAGGATTGAAACAAAAACTGAGACCCCATCATCATCATCATCATCATCGTCGTCGTCGCGCTCCAAAAAATCACCATCATCTTCATCATCAACATCAGCCTCTTTCTCGTCAACATCATCATCATTATCTAAGCCAATCAAAACGAAAGATGATGATAGCAGACGAGAAGCAGTGAAAAAGTCATCATCATCAGCGTCACCATCATCATCGTCACCATCATCATCATCATCTACAACGCCACCTACAGTTAAATCGGAAAAACCCAAAAAGTCTAAAAATAGCGACCATGGAAAATTCAAGGCCTTATTAAAAAAAATTTCATTTGCCGATGCAAGCGTTCAAACCATTGGAAAGATGGCTACATCAGCAACGGAAAAAACGACGAATCCACTTCCTACACACTGGCTACTTGAAGATGGCGAGTAGAAATAATAATAATTATAAATAATAGTAATAAGTAGTATAATTCTATATATAAACATATATGTACCGATCAACTATTAGTAAGAAAATGTTGGTAATTTTTTTTCAACAGATTCCCAACAACTGCAACAACAACAACAGCAGCAACAACAACACCAACAATCATCATCATTATCACAACCACCCCATTCATCAACAGTATTAAGACCGGATCTGATTGATGTTAACATAAGCCAACTCATCAAAACTATGGGTTAAGTATTAAGTAATTAATTTGTTCATTCGTTCATTTACTCATTCAATCCTTCCACTCATTCATTCATTCATTCATCGATTCGTCCATTCATTCATCTATTAATTTTCAAACCATCACTAACCGTAACAGATATAGTGAACACCGACTACAGCAAATCAATGGCCAGGATAAATGAGGTGATCAAGGACCAAGTGATTCTATTGGCGGAGTTTATAGCCAATCAGAAGAGCATTCACCGTGATCTAATTTTACTGACCAATAATAATCTGCCATACAAATACACGACTCTAAGAGAAACGAACGAGGTATAGATATATAAATTAATATTATAAGTGTAATTATAGTTATAATAATAATAAAAACAACTATAATTAAATAATAATAATAATAATAATAGTTAAAACTTAATTAAAACAGTTATTAAGTCTAAAAAAAAATTTTATTACAAAAAATTGAACAAATAAATAATAATGATAAGTAAACCTTACATACATATATATATTCTTTGTTAATATATATATATAGAGAGAGAGAGAAAGAGAGAGAGAGAGAGAGAGAGAAAGAGATTTATAATATAGTTATATAAGTCACCATGTTATGTGAATAGGTTTATATAATATATATTTAAAAAAATATAAATAAATATGTATATATATATATATATATATATATATAGAGAGAGAGAGAGAGAGAGAGATAGAGAGCGATAGAGAAAGAAAAAGCGAGAGAGAAAAAGAGCGAGAAAGAGAGAGAGAAACAAGTTTGACGTCATCATTGTGAAGTTTCTTTGTTACCTTCACTTCACTGTTACCTTCACTTTCATATAAAATGGCGATCTCTATGGATAATAATAACAGTAATAATAAAATAATTATAAATAATAACAACAATAATAATAATTATAATTACAAATAATTGTAAATATTATTTTTATTATTACTTACAGTACATAAAAAGGATGAAGAAAGGAAAGCTGTTTATAAGTTGAAAATGAATGGAAGAGTTATTATTATTTATAATTATTTATTATTATTATTTTTTCGTTAATTATTAGGTAGAATTATTGTTATTTTAATGTCAATATGTTTTTTAGGTGCTATCATGTATGATGCTGGGATAAGGAGATTCAAAATAAAAAGGCATGAGTGAATCAATGAATGAGTGAATGAATGAACAAATGAATGAATGAATGGGCGAACAAACAAACAAACAAATGAATGGATGTATTATTATGGAATTATAAAGTGAACGAACCATCATACAATCGATTTATGGATGAAAAAATTTTATGAAAAAGTGATTTGATTGGTTAGCTGATAAGAAGAATGAAAGAATGAACGAACGATTAAATTAAAAGAATGAATGAATGATCGATTGATTAAACGACGAAACAAATGGATGAATAGAAGGACTGAACGGAAAAACATAGGCAAACATGCAGAAGAACTACCATTAAATTCATCAAACTGAGAAAAAATATAACAATAGATCATTACAGCCTGATGGGATTAATTATAACAATAATAAATAATAACAGTAAAACGTAATATATATATATATACATATATATATATATATTGCCATTTGATAGATGGATGTTGATTAAGAATGAAAAAATGTGGTTATAATGATAATAATAATAACAATAATAATAATAATAACAACAAATAATATTTACAACAAATAATAATAATAATAATCAGTACAAAGAACAACAATTATATAAATACACATTTAAAAATTCGCAATAAACGACGGCAATAATTTTTTTTCTAATATAGCGATGATTGTATATGGCACACACAATATATATATATATATATATATATATATTTACAATATTCTATAAATTCTACCGAATGTTTGGCGTTAATATGTTTGTAGTTCGTTTTTTCGATTTTTCTCACTAAAGTTTTTTGGTGAACGTTTAGTTTATTAAAATTCAAAATAAACTTATTTTTCGAATTCATGCTGCAAATAAGGCCATATTTCGATTCCGAATGAATCATCGTCAGTGCTCCTTGTGTATATATAGGGAAATATGACTTGTG